GAAAAATTGAAATCGCATCATATGACCCCTTTAAGATTTCACTTGCCAAGCAAGCTATTCCAGTTCATTCTAAATTTATTTAAAAGTGATCAAGCATTTATTTATTTTTTGGTAATGATACTGTACAAGTGGAACCAGGAGTGTTCCTTGTATTTATTTTTGTATTTGTTTCCAGATCTGACACATGGAAATGTCCTCTTTCTCCTCCTGTGACATTCACTCTGACATTTGCCATTTCCACAAGTAGACAGCCTGTGTTAGCAATCAGTGGACTGATAAACAAAGTTATTTTGATATGGGAAAGCAGCTGGCACAACATTTACCATGGTAAATTTACCAACATAATATGTGCCATAAGGAAGTTCAATAACTTCATTCACTTCTTGTAATTTGAGATGTGTTAATCTGATGGCAAGTCATTCCTCTGCTCTGCTAAAAGACTTTAGTGTCTGTGATTTAAGGAAAAGTAAGTAAGAAAATTTACTCAACCTCAGGTCATCCAAGATATAGATGATGTGATTATAGATTATTTTAAATTTGGTGAAATTTGGCAATACATCACTTGCTCACCAATGGATCCTCTGCAGTGAATGGGTGCCGTCAGAAATAGAAAAACAGTTCTAAACAAATATATATTGGTGAGTTTTAGTGTAAGAGGACAGCAGGGGATTGATTTTCACTGGAGGATGCACAATTATGGATTACGGACTGGTATGTTGGCTGGAAGTGACAGTTTAAAGTTAAAAGCCCTTCATGATGGATTATTATCTTATAGAAATTCAGCTTTTCACTTCACAAGTTGTTAACTGATGGACTGGAGTTGTGTGGATTGCTTGTGGATTATTGGGATAATTTTATCAGCTGTTTGAACTCTCATTCCGACGGCACCCATTCACTGCAGAGGATCCATTGGTGAGCAAGTGATATTATACTAAATCTCTCCAAATGTGTTCTGATGAAGAGACAAACTCATCTACATCTTAGATGGCTTGAGGATGAATATATTTTCAGCAAATTTTCATTTTTGGGTGAACTATTCCTTTAAAGTTGAATTGAAATGAAAATGTACCCTTTTTAAATGCATGTTATTGATTTTATTATGAATGATTCATTCTTGCATATGATTTGTTTTTATTTATTTATTTTGACCTTGTAACATTAAATCAAAATGTCATAGCTGGATCTTCCTACAGATTTCTAGCTCTTGTGACATATACAGGACTTCTCCAGTCATTTAGTCCGCTTAAACGCCGCCCTTGCAAGCTCATGTTCATCTGCATCCATTTTTGAGTGCAACGCCCACATCTCAAAATCCAATCAACAACTGATGCATAGAACCAAGTCCCGCCTACGTTTTTCCCCCAATAATCCATTAAACTCTGATGTACAATACAGAAGAAACGATCTGTCGCTACTTCTGTTTTGGCACATATTTTTAATGTTCATGCTTAGTTCTTGTTTAGTTTATTTGGGCCCTTACTAAACTATGTTTGGAGCTCCTCCCCAAACAAAAGCTCGACTGTCTCTAAACACAGCCCAAAGATAGCACACATCTAGTTTAACCAGGGTTCCTAGTTTAGGATGACAGCACACATCAAAGCAACAGTGTGTCATTCATCACATTAGGGTGGTGTCCAACAGCAGACCCGGTGATAGACAAGGCAGTGCTCGTAAAAAGGGGGTGGAAGTTGAGGTTGGAGGGGCATGCATGGAGATTTGCATGTCATTGCTTAACCGATACACTTCCCCAATGTCTGTGTCTGATTTTCTGTTCACTTTCTGAGTTTCTGTTCATGTCACCTGGAGAGAAACAGTATCATGGGAGATATCTGAAATGGAATGTATTTCAGGCAATTTGGGAATACAAGATTTAATAGTGTTTCGCTGTGATTTTGCACTACAGGAAGCCCACTCTTTACAAAATGGGGGTGAAAGATTGCCCTCAGTGCTATTTTGATGTGGAGATCAATAGAGAACTAGGTAAGATGTGACAGTGATTTTTATTTGGTTGTTCTGAAATACTCTTGTGTGAAGGTCAAACAGTTTAAAGTACTAAAGTAAAGTTTTGATAGAGAAATGCTTAAAATGTTTGCTTTTAGATTACCATTCATATATGTTTGGCATTCTATGGTTTTCAAAATCACTTTTCCAACTACAAAAATCGTGTTTAGTTCTCAACACCAGTGTTGCAAAAGGTAGCCTATTAAAGGGGTTCAGAGTTGTGTGATCTTTATCATAGCATTTGGTATAATTTTAAAGTATGAAGTTTTTATAAAAGATAAATCGTTAAACCAGTTAGTAATAAGCATTTAATACTGAAAGTGCAACATTATATGTCTATGTTTTGTAAAGTACTTGGATAATGGCAGTTAATATACCTGTGCCAGTGTGTGAGGAACTGTTGTGGCAGTCCACACCCTGACCTGCAGGGCTTTTTTAATGAACCACAGTTGTAGTGTGCACTAAGTCTACCACTAATTATGTGTTTTAAGAGAGATGTCTGTGTCATAAAACCAAAACCTTTTATTTAGTGATTTTACATCCATTACTTTACAAAGCAAATGTTTTAACACCCTGTTTATATTCATTTTATCGCTTATAAATGAAATGGATAACCCTGGCTTTATGTAAAAACACACTTAAATTTGAAGGCTCTTGTATTTGAATATGAAAGAGATGTTTTGGTTTGCCACACTGAAGTCAACCTGAATGTTATAGCCTATAAGTTGAATTGCAGCAGTCACACTAATCTAATAATGGTTTTCTTTAAGCGAGCTATGCAAAAGCACACCTAAATTTGAATGCTTTTGTATTTGAATATGAAGAAGATGTTTTGGTTTGCCACACCTGTCAACCTGTGAAGTCAACTTGAAAGTTATAATCTATATAAATTGAAATGCTATAGTCACACTAATCTAATAATGGCTTTTTATCCTTAAGCTTAAAACACAAAACATACAGGTGTAAGATTTCTGATCCACAAGTATAATGATTTATTTTGCTTTCTTCCAGTTGGACGAATTGTCTGTCAATTGTTCTCCGATGTTTGTCCCAAGACAAGCAAAAATTTTCTTTGCCTGTGCACTGGTACGTATACTTGACATGAGGTGTTTTATCATGCTAGACTTTGACTTTAAACCTGTAAAGAACTGCTTTGACCAATATTCTCTTAGGTAATTATATTATTTCACAAACATACTCAAATTTTTTACAGAGTCAACCTTGAACTCATTTTAGAGGTTTTATCTAAAATAAACTATAAAAACCTAATATAGGTTTTTAAATGGCTATTTCAATAATATAAATAATAATATAATAATATAATAATAGCCAAGGAAGCTGGCGTAACACCAACCAACTAACTAACCTTCATATAATATCCATTCATATCCTCTTATACAAGCATAAGCTTATCGGGCAATAGCACAAAAATAAACCTGGAGGTGACTAAATTCTGTCTGTGTAACGAAAAGTGCAGGTGTTTTGCTGACAGCACTGAAGAATGAACCAGAACTGTATTTACAGCCTGTTCCTAGAAGACAGAAGCCGCATTAGTCTGCATTGAGAAGGTTTGGTCATAAATTACAGTTAGTAAGGCTTGTGGTCAATACAGGGATCTTTTTTCTCACCAGCTGAGAGATTTCTGATCCACAAGTATAATGATTTATTTTGCTTTCTTCCAGTTGGACGAATTGTCTGTCAATTGTTCTCCGATGTTTGTCCCAAGACAAGCAAAAATTTTCTTTGCCTGTGCACTGGTACGTATACTTGACATGAGGTGTTTTATCATGCTAGACTTTGACTTTAAACCTGTAAAAAACTGCTTTGACCAATATTCTCTTAGGTAATTATATTATTTCACAAACATACTCAAATTTTTTACAGAGTCAACCTTGAACCCATTTTAGAGGTTTTATCTCAAATAAACTATAAAAACCTAATATAGGTTTTTAAATGGCTGTTTCAACATGTTAATCACATTGATAATAGCCAAGGAAGCTGGCATAACACCAACCAACTAACTAACCTTAATATAATATCCATTCATATCCTCTTGTACAAGCATAAGCTTATAGGGCAATAGCACAAAAATAAACCTGGAGGTGACTAAATTCTGGCTGTGTAACGAAAAGTGCAGGTGTTTTGCTGACAGCACTGAAGAATGAACCAGAACTGTATTTACAGCCTGTTCCTAGAAGACAGAAGCTGCATTAGTCTGCATTGAGAAGGTTTGGTCATAAATTACAGTTAGTAAGGCTTGTGGTCAATACAGGGATCTTTTTTCTCACCAGCTGAGATTGAAATAAGAGACACATCCATGCTGATCAGATAGGATTATCCTTTTGCTGTCTGTGTAACTGTATAATTCAGGACTGAGTCCAGTAGTTTAATTCAGAGTACAATACATTGATTCATTAAGTTTATCCACATTTCTAAGAGCTTAACCTGTGAAATCTTTTTTTTATTTATTTTTTGGTTTGGTTTGGTTAGGTTAGGTTAGGTTACGTACTGGGTCCGTTATATTCAAGTAATCAAAAACGGTGTATCATGTCATTCTGGGCAGTGCTGCCCACAGTGAAATCAAGCTGGTTCAAAATCCTGATTCTTATAGATGTATCTCAAATATAATATTTTACAATGTATTTTTCATTTTTTACTTGCAATATGATTGGTTTGGACATAGTATGTGCATCACAGTTTGCATTCTTGTGCACTATTCTCTGCCAGTTTTTTGTTTAAATAATGTGATTAGTGTGTTTCACTCTGAAAATTGCAAAAAGTGCACTTCAAATGCCTGGATGATGCACTTAATTAACCAAAAAAAAAAAAAAAACCTTAATTAAGTGTGGAATGTTGGACACTTCATGCTCTTAACTGTTGCATCTTTAATTAGTTACTAGAGGGGGAGGGCCTATTAGACTGATGTTGGATGACCGAGCGAGCATATATAATTCATACACTAGATAGTTAAATACAAGTGCAACTTATTCATTTATTCATTTGAGACACAACTAGTTTTGTTCATTATATGTTGTTTATTTTGTGCCATGTACAGAAAGCTCCAGTTCAAAATAAATTCACATGGTCTGCACATTGATAATGTAGTCAGAAATAAAGAAAATTAATAAATTACATTATGTGATGATGTTCAGAACATTTTCAGACTGATTGAAGTTTGATGTATATCTGTAGTTCTTCAAGGCAAAAGGAGGAATGCTTTCCATTCTGAGGATGACTCTCAGAGTTCCTCTGAGTCTTCATCTCAGTATTCCTCCTCTAATCGAGAGTCTGAAAAAAATTATGCATCTCGAAAGAGGAAAAGAAACTCAAAGAGAAAAAGAAGAGAGACAGTTAAAACAGCAGGACAAAGGTAAATGATTGTAACCAGTTCCATTTCCTATTATGCACAGTGAAAGCATCTATTTGCATTTATTTGTTATTCAGCCAATGATCTAAAGCAATAACACGTTTGGTATTCGCCTGCACTGACACTTTTCAGCTATATCACAGTTACAGTAAAAATAGTATACTGATAACCTTTTCCTGATTCATAGTCATGCTGAAGATGAGATGGCAGAGGAAGATGATGGTGAGACTGAGCAGAATGTGAAAAGGGAGAAGCCTGTGGTTCGACCAGAAGAGATCCCACCCGTGCCAGAAAACCGTTTCCTGCTCCGCAGAGACATGCCCCAGGAGGAGACAGTAAAAACGTTTGTATCTTTTGTACAATTCAACAAACATATGCTTCTTTTTTTCACTTAAACATCACAAGAGTCTTTCCTCTGCATCCCCAGTTATTAGATAACTGACATTTTCTATAGGGTCAAATTTTAAAGTGTTACTACAGAACCAAAGCTATTCATATTTTAGTAACATTTGTCCCTGCTTAACAATTAATCCCTGAAATCCATGGCTCAGCTTTGATGGTGTATTTTAAACCAAAAGAGTTAAAGTCTTGAAACTTTTCCCCCCAATAGGGCTGTGCAGGACACAGTCGTGGCACCAAATGACACAAAACCAACTGTCACAAAATCTGGACGCAAGATCAAAGGCCGTGGTACTATGGTATGACAGCCATGAATTACATTTATAACACATCCAGAAAAAAAACAAGACACAGAGTGACATTGTATGAAGTACAGCAGACAAAATGCATTTTTACAAACACAAAAATATATCAGCTGCTTTAATAATTGTTATAATTATTTCATTCTAATTATTTGTTAGAACTTAGAAAGTGCTTGATGGAAATGTTAGTTTGATTGGTTGGCCATGCATGAAATGTTGTTGTTTTTTATTCCCTCTGCAGAGGTACCATACCCCCCCTCGGTCAAAGTCCCGATCAGAGTCAGAAGGGGAACGGGAGAGCAGTGAGACTCCTCCACACTGGAAAGAGGAAATGCAGAGGACCAAGGCTTACCAGCCCCCTAGTGTGGAGAGATGGAGTAAAGGAGAAAGGTATATTCTTACACCATTTGAAAACGGGGCAATGATCAGTGTGAAATTCAAAATGATTGAATTTGCCAAGCCAATATTGGTAGTTTATTTCTGGTTTATATTAAAAGGTTTATATTATTTTGATTTGCTTTCAGATATGTGTTTAAAGTTGTGAAAAAACATAGTTGGGACATAGAGTTTGATTTTGTAGTTTTAAATATTGTTCAAACAGATGGGATGACAGAAGTGACACCCCAAGGTCTAGGTCAAGATCTGAAGAGCATTCCTTAAGTGAGGCTTCTGTATATTCCAGCCACCATCAATATAGAAAAGAAAAAAAGAAAACCAAACACAAGAAGAAAACAAAGAAACGAAAGCACTCAAAGAAGCATAAAAAGAACAAGACCAAGGAGATCTCCCAGTCTGAGGATGAGATGTCTGGGTCCTCAGGCAAGAGGTCAAAGCCCTCAAGCCATGCTGAAAGGAGACATTCTCGATCACGCTCTCATTCTTACTCTCGCTCATCGTCGCATCACTCCCACAGATCGTATCGATCGGAATCAGAAAGGAGACGTTACTTATCAAGCTCTTCTAGAGATTCACGATCTTATTCGAGGTCCAGGAGCAGATCCTATTCCAGAAGTCGCTCAAGGTCTGATAAGCGGGTTAGGTCATCCATGAGGTCAAGGCATAGTCGATCAGGGCGGTCTGTTACTCATTCTAGGTCACTGTCTCATTCTCGATCCAGATACAGGACAAGGTCAAGAACCAGATCAAACTCTAGGAGAAAAAGAAATGAGTTGAGATCCCCTCGGAAGTCAAAGCCTACAGAGGGTGGTATTTCCAAATTGGACAAGCCTGTCCCTAAATCAGTTCAAGGTGAAGAACCTAAAGCCCAACCAGCAGCATCTTCAGAGAGTGCTTCTGTGTTGCCTTTGAGTGACAGTCCACCTCCTTCTCGATGGAAACCAGGCCAAAAACCCTGGAAACCCTCTTATGTCCGCATTCAAGAAATCAAAGTAAAATCAGCCCCAGCTTCAAATGCACTAATCAGCCCATCATCAAATGTACCTCTGGAGACAGTGTCCTCTCTAAAGCCAGACATGGCTGTTAGTCAAAGCGACCCCAGCAGCAGTAACAATAATGTTTCTGATAGACTCCTGCAAAGCAGTTTGTCCAGGAGCAGGTCACCTATTCGATCACAAAGTAGCAGTAAATCACAGAGTCAGTACGGCAGCAGATCTTCCTCCTGCAGTAGGTCAGAATCGTATGATTCATACAAAAGAAGATCCACTGAAAAAAAAAGAAAACATCGTAAATCTAACAGAAATAGCCAAAAGAGGGACAAGCATGCAAATCATGGTAGTGGCCATAAAGATTCATCTCCCTTCTCAGGGGACATATCAGATAATCCATACAGTGCTATCCACGGACACAATGACTCCTTGGTTCAGAGAAACACACTGAAAAGCACAAATCCCAGTCAAAGGAAAGAACCAGTAGTGGACAACAATAATGCATCTGGATGGGAAATTGAAGGAGAGAACTCAAGTAAGACTACTACTGCTGTTGAACACCACCAACTCCTTTTTAGGCAAGAAGGACTTACTGAAACGAAAAAGAGACACATTTTGTATCATTGCTGGGAAT